AAGACGCTGAGAACTTTCCGGACAACCTAATAGAACTGTATGGTAGCAGCTGGCAATGGACGATTCCCTTGACACTCCACTGACAAAAGAACATAAAGAACATAATCTTCTTAGACTTCAGTCGGGGAGTTGCGACTATGTTTTGTTTTAGCCATTGTCTGCTGAGTGAGAAACTGACGTAGAAGACACACTTCTCGTCTCCTTTTACCACGTAGCCCGGCCAGATCAGTGAAGGGGGGAGAGAAGAGAGAGAGAGAGAGAGAGAGAGAGAGAGAGAGAGAGAGAGAAAGAGAGAAGAGAGAGAGAGAGAGAGAGAGAGAGAGAGAGAGAGAGAGAGAGCTTGGGAGTGTCGGACTTCACCCGCATAAGATCAATGGTCAGATAGTGGGGCAGAGGTAGAACACCGCCTAAGCAAGCAGCGCGTTCGGGGGGGGGGGGGGGAACGAGAAAGGTAGAACATCGTTTATTATAGATCAGCAATTTGTTGTAATGTGGAAACAGGTCACCAAACAAATTCTTGCGCTCAGTTTCCCAGAAATTACTGGCCAATCAGCAAGGGTACAAAGGACCCATTTCAGATGCTGGACTCGATCAGTACAGCAGCTAACTAGCAATAAGCAATCCAATGCCTACCCAAGGCTATGGCTCTCCTAAACTCTCTTACCGCTACTACGTCATCTACGACAAATGAGTAGAGAGAAGGAACTACCGAGCTTTTTTGTCGTAGGCAACACCACAAAGACAAAACAGCTTGGCAGTGCCTTTTGTTTGCTTTTCATTAGGACCCATTTCTCTATGGCTCCGCTGAGTCCTTACCGAGCAGACTTGGGGCCGTAGGTAGCTACGCTCCATATACCCAAGAAGGGAAGGGCGTGGCTGCGTACTTCATCTGAACATGTCGTGCAAGCTGTCTTCGTGGAATGTTTCAGTTCGAGAGGCGAAACTGGTGTAGTGGCAAGACGAATATAATACCAATTCACCGTACCCTGAGGGTAGAGGACTCGGTTCCCTGGGTGTAAGCCGGCCTGGATTTGATATCCAAGGCTCACTTACCATACGCGCTCCTTGGATATCAAATCCAGGCCGGCTTACACCCAGGGAACCGAGTCCTCTACCCTCAGGGTACGGTGAATTGGTACCAGATTCGTCTGGGAGGATAAAACACTGACTTGTACATCGGCTGGCCACAGCAAGTAATCGTCTAGGCAATGTCGTCTTCGTGAGCCACTAGGATTCCAGATGGAGGCAGAGAGCAACCTTTTATCCTCCATTTTCATTTAAACAACTATCACCCTGTCTTGTACTGAACCAAAACAGGACTACAACTGTCCCGCATCGTCATGTTCAAATGGAGCAGGCAGCCACGCCCTCTTCGATTCTCGGGTTTGGAGTGCATGTCAACGTCGGGCATGGTATAGCGAGAATCAACAGCCAATTGCCCAAAATATGCCTGCAAGGTGCACGACCGCATGAGATCAACCCGACTGCACACATAGAATGGAAACTACGGCCACTCGCTACATTGGGAAAGCCGCTGCGGATCAACTCCGCAGTGACGTCCGCCTCTGGCGACTATGGGCAAGCGCGAGCGCTCCGCTAATAACAAACCCTTCCATGATGACTACGAATGCGCAGGGTTCGAAGACTTCAGATTCAGATTAGATAAGAAACAAATTGATGAAAATACGAAAGAAAAAGCTTATTCATACCTGCAAAGCAATGGCTCGTACTTGGGCACGCATGATCTTATCTTTCGGAAGCAGAGGGTATCGATCCGGGTATTTCTCATCCAAATATTCCATAATTGCCATGCTTTCCGTCAAATTCACTCCGTCGATGGTAAGGGCCGGTACTTTGCGACATGGATTTATTGCCATGAAATCGGGATCGTTCTAGAACAATCAACAAAATAGCAAGTTTATTAAGTACTGAACTAAACTGAGTAAATTGTTCTGTGACATAAACGAGTGACCATTAGAACTGATGTTTCATCTGTTCTTACACAATAATAAGATGATAGGGTATTGGCCAAAGGGTACCTGACCTGACTGGACGCAGTTGCTTCACAACTGAACCTCAAGGGTGCTACTCACGTTGTTCGTGTAGGCTGCGACGGAAAAATCATTGTCTCCCTCTCATCACTTTAAAGACAGCCCCGCGCTCAAGTAGTACATGGTCGTCCTTCCTTGTGCAAGTAGTACAGCCCCCAAGCTAGAGACTGTCCCACTCTCGCAACTCCACAGCGAGCGATTAGCGAGCTACAGCCGCTGAAAGTCCTAGTTCTAACGCCTGCCCAGTTGGACCGCCTCCCTTGCTAGATGTCCTCCGACGGAATGCCGCTCAGTTGTTCTTTGTTGGGACGGCGGGCATTAATCGGAATTGCATGTACTTTTTGCTGACCGCGCTCGTGCCCATGAATAATTCTGCTCTCCTTCATTACATTTTATTCATTGGGAGCACATACAATCAACTGCAACCCATGCAAGGTAAAACGCTCAAAAATCACGAGTGATGTAATTTTTGTGGTGCAAAAGCTCGACATGCACTAGAAGCTGCACATGGAGGTAACCGCAAGTTCGGACGCCAAGTTTTTGAATTTTTTCTTTTTTATGTGTTTTTCGTTCGTGTTTTTGTTGTTTTTCGTATTCTTTTCTTTGCATTGGATGATATCCACTACTGGGATATGTGATAAAGCGATTTGTGAGCCAGGGGTTGCACAGGGACCGCAGGGCGGTGTGATTGTCAAGGAGTGATTTTGTTTATATTGTTCTTGAGGGCTGTTCTTGGTTTTTTCCTTCATTGAGGAATTACTTATCAGCTACTGTTTCATAATTGAACAGCAACTATCCTTGACACTTTTATCGCGGGAGCTGTCTTTAAGGCAGCGTTCAGACTTCGCGATTGCGCCGCTCCGCAGCGCGATCGATCGCGTCGCTAGTGGTAGCGGCCGGTTCTGTGGCGCGACTGATTCGATCGCGCTCCAATGCAAAAATCAACTGGACGGATGCTAATTTACAGCCATTTTCGGTTACTTTTTGCTTCTTTCTCCTCCCGCTTGCTTCTCGCTTGTTTCTTCCTCCTCCTGGCACTATTATTTCTAATCTGTTTCTAATGTTTGTCAGTTATTATGCTTTTTACCCTTGACATAGTGAAATTTTTCAGATGCATTGAAATTTTTTGGATGGACGGCCGTTCTGCGCGCAACTTTTCTTGTTTTCGAGGTGGGTTTTTCAGGTTCCCTGCAGTTTTGGTTATCTTTTTGATTCTCATCAATTAGCTTGGACGGCAGTTCAAAACATCACCTGCACGGCAATTAGTTT